CTTTGTATTCAGCCCCTATTTAGCATGAACAATATTTGTATTAAAATTCAACCCATGTTTTAAAACATACTATCATTTAGCTTTAAACATAAATAATCACATTTCTGTACGTTTTTTAAATATACACCTGGTCCTGCACCAATGCATCATTTCTTTATTACACTTTTTTCTCATAAGTTTGCATTAGTTAGGAGTTAAACCTAATACAAATAAGAACCTCATTTTCATAATTATTTCATTTATGAACTATGTTGAGTCACTGTACAAGAATAATACTTGTTAAAAAAAAAAGAAATTAAATAAAAAGATATATTTAATGTTTGAATGATCTAACAAACTTTTAGCAAAAGTTTTGGCAAATCTATTTCATGGCAAATAAATAAGGGGCATGCAACAGCGTTGACACCCCAAACATCACGTACTGGCAGTCTATTCCCCTCAAAGAAAAGGCACCCTGCTCCTCCAGTTGGGTACTTTGAGGGTCAAAATGTTCCTAAAGTGACATTGTTCAAACAGGAAAAATTGTCAGTTTGATTTGGCTTTTAATCTTTGTGAGAAGGTCAGTCAGTTATGAAAAACATGACCAATACTGAGAACAAACTACTGTATGTAACACTCTCCAATAATATAATAAATAAAACACATAAAAACCCAACTTCTTCCAATAATACCAGCACGGATGTTTATCATGAATTGCATGGCAGTGAAAAGGCAAAGAAAGCGGACAAACTAGTACAAGCTTGCATTGACTGGAGACCACTGGACATCAGCAAGCATCATCTCTACCTCTGTGTAACGGCACACCTAATGCATGACAAATGTGTCTGCACTTTTTTGCCTTTGCTTTAGGTGTGGTGAAAACAGACGGCCTTTTTCTGAAGCATGCACCAGTTTCCTGAAGCATGCACAGGAGTGAGGGATAGCAGACAGGGTCTACTGTTTACTGTAGGAACAAAGATTACTGCAATATGATGGCGGCAGAGGTAATACTACCATACAAGCAATATGCCCTGTGTAGCGCATATACAGAGGGGATCACACAGCTCTGTGACAGCTGGTCTGTTTGCCGGAGTTCATGAAAATGATGTTAAAATAAAGTCAAAACCATCTAATTCCTCTAATAAGTTTGTCATGAATGTCCTTATGACAACACTACATGCTGATTAATTGTAAGCCCCGCCCCAAAAAAGACAATTATATATATATCCTGTATTATTGTTATTGTCTGTTTTATATAATTTATTACCTGATTAATGTTGGACGGATTCATACCTACTGAGATTAAAAGATGTGTCAATATCAAGTGAATTAAAGTATTTGAGGTCTTGAGAAAATATCTTATATTAACCTTAATATCCACCTGCAGATATCCCATAAGGACGAAACTGAGTAGGAACCACTGAACAGAGTCAAACACACACACACACACACACACACACACACACACACACACACACACACACACACACACACACACACACACACACACCTCTACATCAGTCCCAATACCCAGAACACGGATGCCCAGCGGTCCATGACTATCATTGAACAGGACAAACAAAATTAATTAAAGTGCCATCATAACTGACACCTTGCTGTCACCTGGTGCAGAGAGCTAGAAAAGAATGTGGACTGTCATGTGGACTGCCTGGCAGCAAATTGCCTCATCAAATATGCATGTATGTAATCATGCTCGCAGCACAGAAACACTGTACATTATTCATTCTTATTCTGAATTAAAAAGTTATCTGGCTGTGTACACTGATAGATAATGAGGCGAGGAGTTTTCTGATTTTCACTTAAACTGCCTACCATTCATTTATCGGAGATGGTGATAGTGAGAGTATCGATTACAATTCAAATCTGATACTGGAGATTTACAGATCAGATTACAGAGAGCACACACACATGGCTGGACTCCTCTAATGGGAAGGCTTCATGATGCTCCCATGGTACCAAATAATAATCCCTTAATCCACTGTTCATTACCCTCAACATAGCCTTTGTCTGTCCCCCACTGGTCCATGTAAGTCATTCTATATCATATCTCCATTTCCAATCACATTGCACAACTACCCAGCAGCAGTCATCATCGTCTCCCAGTGCCCACACGCTCTCTAAATGGACAGGAGAAAAAAGGGATGGACAGAAGGGGAAGAGGAAGGGACAGTGGAGGCAGAATGACAATCTGACTTTATATTGGCGCAAAGATTACAACTGCTGAAGGCTGAGGTGCAAAGAGTTGTGGGTAATTGTCGTGTTTTTCATTAGCGGTTAGATGAGGATCTGGAGATGAGGAAGGAAATGGCCTCATCATCATTGCTTTCTCTCTCTGTGTGTGTGTGTGTGTGTGTGTGTGTGTGTGTGTGTGTGTGTGTGTGTGTGTGTGTGTGTGTGTGTGTGTGTGTGTGTGTGTGTGTGTGCCTTTGCAGATCACACCCTTGATCACAAATGTCCCTGCTCACTGCAAAGGGAACAAATTGTTCCCTCTTTCTCTGTGCCCCACCATGTTCAACCATTATCTCTGGATATTGAAAGAAACAAGCCATCCTAAATGAGGAGCAGAAAGATTGAAGGAAAAAATGAGAAAGAGGAGAATGAAGAAATAACTGGCGGTTGGGGTGGGGGTTTGGTGGAGGGGGTGCCTTTAGGGGTTTAGAGGCTATGAGGCCAAAAATAAGACTGGAGATGAGGAAAGGAAATGAAAAGAAATGTGTGCCAAAATTGTGATGAGACGCCACAATCGCACAGGCTGGGATGAGAAGGGAAAATTAGAGCAGAGGAGAATTGAAAAGAGACACCGATAGGAAGAGAAAGACACAGAGAGACACGGAGAGGATGGGGGGGGTAATGAGTGAGGCATTGAAAGACATACAGAAAAAACTATATAAGATTTTCCCCGTAACGCTCTTGTGATCAAACCAAAGATGTTTGTATTACAGTAATGTCAGAGAACTATGTTGTCTCATATGAGGTCTCATCATATTGTAGTTTGATATGTCTCCCACGCAAATGAGTAATAGTGAACCAGCAATTACATTTTCATCTACATACATATATTTTTTTCCCTGTTGAAAAGCAAGAACAAACTTTCTAGGAAGTTCTAAAAATCGCCCCGCCGATGATGTGCACGTGGCCTTGTTGTGATATTGTAATGGTTTATCCATCCACCAGGTTGAGCAGTTAGCAAATCTGACTTGCTATTATATTTGCTCTGAGGAAATGTGCTTCCCTAAAACTTTCAATGATTATAAACATATCATAATGAACAGGCAAGGAATTTTATACTAAAACACTGTTACAGCTTGATATTTTTATGCATTAAAAAGCAACACGGCTAATGAGACACACCTCAAGTTATTATCTGATAATATTTCCTTTTCTGTCTTTTAAAGCTATAATAATGCGTTATTCAACAGAGTTCCATAAAAAAAGCTATATGATTGGGAAATGCTTTTTTCAGAAGTTACAAGGTGAGACAATACCAACATATAAAAGACAAGACCACAAAACCTAATAAACCCACAAAACAAAAAATGACTTTGAGACAAAAAACCCAACAGTGTTTTTAAAACAATTAAATAAATGATACGTTTGACGGATTACGGTTGCCAAATCTGGCAGCCATTACTAGCTCTGCCAGATTTAGAAAACCTTAACGCTAACCCCAACACTTTAATATTTCACCTGATTTAGAAGCCCCCCTGGCATTTTATACACCATGAATCCAGAGTAAAATGTTGGCGTAAACTACAGGGGAATAACTAACACCAGTGTTATTTTGGTGGGATTATGACCATCATGACCAAAATCACAGAGGGGGTGCCAAATCCAGCAGCCATAACACCAACTCTGCCAGATTTGGAAGCACTCCTTTAATTTTCATCTGATAGGCTCAGAGTAAATTGCTTTTGTTTGCTTAAACTAGAGAGGAATAACTAATGCTGGAGTGAATTCTGTGAGATTAGGACAATCATTGCCAAAGATGCAGAAGGGGTGTCAAATATGGCAGTCATAATGCTAGCTCTTCCAGATTTTTAAAGCCCCCTTTAAATAAAAGTACAAAGTATAAGCATCAGAAATGTATGAAAATGCATTTATTATTCAATCATAATTAATAATGAATTCATGTTTCACTTTCATTAAAGGTCCCATGGCCATTTCTACTGATCATAATTCCATTGTTGAGGTCTACTAGAATATATTTATATTGTGCAATTTTCGAAACTCACATTGGTTTCTCATACAGCATCTCTGTATAGTATGTCGGGATGGGTATTGTTAGGATTTTATCGATACCGATACCGGTACTGCTTATCGGTATCGGTATTTTTTGATACTCTTATCGATACTTTTCAATCATTTGGTGCTCAAAATGATAGACATGAATACAAGATGTGAAGATNACGCATTTCTTATGCTACGTTCACACCGGACGCGATGCGACGTTTGGCAGCGGCGCGATTACATGTAAAGTCAATGCAGAGACACGATCAGACGCGAATTTGCTCCGACGGCGCGCATGAAGCGGTGGAAATTCGCGTCTGATCGTGTCTCTGCATTGACTTTACATGTAATCGCGCCGCTGCCAAACGTCGCATCGCGTCCGGTGTGAACGTAGCATAAGAAATGCGTTATTTAGATATGCTTTGTTTTTTTATTGAAAGCTGACATTTCTATAAAAAAAACGCGATTTTAATCAGGAAATGTATTCAATGAACTTTGTATTTTCTGCCAGAAGTGGTTCAAACTCAGCACAATCTTTTTAAATTGTGGATTTGGGCTTGAAAATGCTTGTTTTGCTAGTTATTGCAAGGGTAAAAGTCACCTGTAAGCAAACACATTTGTTTTGCTTGTGTAGTAGGTGTTAAGATGAAGTTGAAAGCAAAATAAAGTCCTTGATTTAATGTGATGCAGACAGAAAGAAGACAATAGATGTTTATACAGCAGGAAGCTCCTATTTTGACTCCAATTTCTACTTTTTATTTCCTCTCGTTCAGCCCCAGGCGGGTCTCTCTCCGACGACATGACCCGTACTGAGTTCTGCCTGTTCACGGCACAAGAAGACCTGGAGACCATGCAGGCATATGCTCAGGTAAAAGGCACACCAATGACTGTTTTTAACTGTTTACAAGTGATTTATTAATATCATCCTCCATTGATCTGCAAATGACATTTGATATCATGCAATTGTTTAAGCGCTGCGTGAACTTTTTGGCTTTTTTCCACCTCAAACAGGTTTTTAACAAACTGATCCGGCGTTACAAGTACCTGGAGAAGGGTTTCGAAGAGGAGATCAAGAAGGTGAGAAATGTTTCTGAGATTGGCCTTTTGTAATCTTAGTGTGCAGTAGGTTCAAGTACAGTGTTCATTTTGTATTAAGAGAACTGTTTATGTCTAGATGTAAAGCCATTTCTGTTGTCTTATTTATGTAAGAAAACAAGCATCGACACGCTTTCACACAGATTGTTCTCCAGGTGCAAAACAATCAAATACAAAAGCCACACATGCAGGCTTGTAAACGGCATGAATTGGCCTGCAGTCGTTACAGAAGGCAACAGGACAAACCTGTATTTGTTTTTGCTTTGTGTCCTCTACAGTTGCTGCTGTTTCTTAAAGGGTTCACTGAGTCTGAGCGCAACAAACTGGCCATGCTGACCGGCATCCTGCTGGCCAAAGGAAACATATCAGCCTCCATCCTTAACAGCCTCTACAACGAGAACATCGTCAAAGAAGGTGAGCAGAAATACTCCAGAAATGAGTGAGAAAGAGGGTTTTGTTCAAGAGCTTTTAATGTTTCTTCAAACGTTCATGCTAATAACGCCCCATTGAATAATACTGGCTTTTCAGTCAGCTTTGTATAACAGAAACCACTCTCGTCTTTTTTTAGGAGTATCTGCAGCCTTCGCCGTTAAGCTGTTCAAGTCATGGATTTACGAAAAGGACATCAACTCTGTGGCCGGCTCTCTCCGCAAAGTGGGCATGGACAACAGGCTGATGGTAAATCAACTGTTTAATCAAAGATGGCTGGAAAACCATCTCTCTATTAAGTGTCAAGTCCAATTTTTTGTGTGTGCATCAACTCTAACCTAAACCATCCCCTCCCCTCAGGAACTCTTTCCTGCCAACAAACGGAGCTGTGAGCATTTTTCTAAGTACTTCACCGACGCCGGGCTGACGGAGCTTGCTGACTTCGCCCGTAACCAGGAATCCATCGGTGCCCGCAAGGAGCTGCAGAAGGAGCTCCAGGAGCAGATTGCCCGCGGAGACCCTCAGAAGGAGGTGAATAGTCATTATTGTTAAAGTGAACAACTTTCTCATTAGTCTGAGACTGAATTTAAAGCGATTTAAGAGGGTGACAAACCTGCAAATATTGCAAAATAACCCCAATCTCTGCAGTAAAAAGCTGTGGTGTAATTCTGGTAATTGTCATAATCGTTCTTCTTTTTGTAGCAGCTTTGACTGGTCTCATCATTGTCACTTTTTCCATGTTTCATGCTTTGTGACTGATGCATTAGCAGTAACTGAACATCACTGTTACGCCCCATCTTCAAAATGGCCCTATGGGGATAACAACATTCCACCTCTGACCCAGATAGAACCCATAGGATGTGAAATGTTCAACTACACATCCTAGATGGCAGAGGCCTCTCTCTTCTGCTGCACTGGAGCTTTGATGGACTTCCTTCACCAGGTGCACCTCGTCTGAACCTCGTTACAGCAATGAAACACACCTGGGTAGAGGAACCAAAGGGAAAAAGAAACGGGGAATACATACAGCCGTAACACCCCCACCCTTAAAACAATGGCCGTTTCTCAATGTTGAGTAAAGCTGCTGCAGAGCCACTATTTCAAGTATACTACGTCATCGAGTGGCTCCGAAGGACTGTTTAAATGCCCAGCATTCGGCGCCACTCGATGACGTAGTATACTTGAAATAGTGGCTCTGCAGCAGCTTTACTCGACATTGAGAAACGGCCACTGAATACATAGAAAACTAACAAAGGTGGTGCCACCATGAGTCATGGAGTTCATAACAAATGAGCTGTGTTATAAGAGTCCTTCATTTGGAAACTAAACAACATACTAAATATTCAATAATTATCTCTAAACCTTGTGGAAACGATCCTTTATTTTCCGCCTGCGGTTGTGTTGTTTCATGACTGATTTTCTCTCGCCGTGTGTTCAGATTATCGTCTTCGCCAGAGAGGAGATGAATAGGTCCAACCTGTCGGAGCAGGCCATGATCAACATCATCTGGACCAGCGTGATGAGCTGCGTGGAGTGGAACAAGAAGGAGGAGCTGGTGACAGAACAAGCCATCAAACAATTGAAGGTATGCAAACCTTCAATTGTTCAAATGCATGTACTGGAAACAGTTAAAAATGCATTGAATACAGTTTATAAATACAACACTAATATGATGTCATGCGTTGGGCAATAAGTTGTAAACCTTGCCACAGTGACTGCAAGTTCCTGCAAGTCTAAAAATGTTATTCAGTGCTGTGAAACAAAGTTGTCTTATGCTGTGTGCATCTATTGACATTGGATTTTATTTGAATGTGCATAAAATGCCTATTTAGTTTGACCTAAGAGTTGGTATGTTTTTAATTTGGGTTGGCATATTTATGCAGGGTTCTCATTGGTTCTGTAAATACTTGAAACAGGAAACTTTGATCATGTTTTCCTTGAATTTGTCACCCTTCTGTAGCTGCTGTCTGAAAGAAAAATAATCAAGAAAATTCAGCAACCATCATACTGTATGTAAAGTGTATATACATGCTATGAAACACTGCTGTGAGGTGAAGGGAAAGCTTAAAGGCACCTTGAATTGGCTCTAAACAGTAGGAAATGGGCTGTTTTGCCCTGAAGTGGTGTATCTCAGCGCTGAGAAACTGAAATTACAAAAAGTGTCATTTGTACTGTTGATGGAAGGTGTTAAAGCTCGAGACAGAACAAACTGAAGTAAATCTGCAGCAGTGTGAACAGCAACCCATTAAGCTTCATCCTGCTGTAAATCAGTACGCTTTAATGCACCGACACGCTTTTAAAAACACACATAACTCCTGAGAGTGCTCGAGGAGTGCATGTCCACCTCCGCCCCAGAAAGCAAAGCTGTTCTTACTTTCTGACCTTGCTTCATGTTCCTGCAGCAATACAGCCTGCTGCTGAAATCCTTCACCTCCCAGGGTCTGTCTGAGATCAGCCTGCTGCTGAAGATCCAGGAGTACTGCTACGACAACATCCACTTCATGAAGGCCTTCCAGAAGATCGTGGTGCTCCTCTACAAAGGTCACTGTCACCTCCAATAACTCACATTTATTTTAGGGTGTTTAATGAAAGTGTTCACTTCTTCAGGTCATTGTTTTACATTTTAATTGACCGTAAAAGGGTTTCTGATGATCGAAATGGGACTTTGTGCGTTTTGTGGCGTTCCCTTTCTTGTAGTGTTAGATAAGTTTTAAACATAACGTTATCATATTTGTTTATTTTTACCAAAAGCCTCTCGCATTGATGTCATAATGCTCTAGGTATCAGAGAAATTCTGCGTAGTATTAGTCCTAAATTGCATTCAGAGTTGCATTTACGGTGGCTTGCGGCGCAGTGGGTTGTGCGTATGTGTTAGGATCAGGGGAGCACAGGTTCAAACCCCACTGCAGTCAGCATGTCGTTGTGTGCCTGAGACACTTCACCCCAAAGTGCTCCTGTGGGGATTGCCCACAGTATTGAGTATGTGAGTCGCTTTGGATAAAAGCGTCTAGCAAGTAACATGTCATTTGAATCTGACTTTTCTTAAGCCTTTGTAACCCTGAATTACAAAACACCTTTTCTAAAAAACAAAACACAATTTGCTTAAAAATAAGTCTAAATGTCTTTAAAGTGATCTTTTGCTTTACTTTAAATGTATGTTGAGTGTATTGTTTGCAAGCTCTCAAACTCTCCCCTTCCTCCTCACAGCGGATGTATTGAGTGAAGAGGCCATACTGAAGTGGTACACCGATGCCCACGTTGCCAAGGGGAAGAGCGTCTTCCTCGAGCAGATGAAGAAATTCGTCGAGTGGCTGAAAAATGCTGAGGAAGGTAAATAAAAACGCACACACACCCTCATTCAGCCTGAGGCAAAGTTTGCCGAGGATGAAAATCAGTGTTTAAGAGTCCTCTTTGAACCCATAGGAATCCTGAAAGTGAGCAGAATATTTCCTCTTTTGAATGTTTTCAAATATTTCATCTACTAATCCAGTATTTCCTCTCTGCAGAGTCTGAGTCGGACGAAGAGGAGACGGACTAACTCCTCCACCGCCAGATGAGCTTCTTCGCGTTTTACTTTTTTTTATAAGTAGCAGCAGGAGCCGAAGAATATAGTTTTTCCTCCTCTCTTCTACCTCCTGTTACTATTTTAACCCTAAAACACACACACACCCTTTCACCTCCAAACAGAATTATGTAAAGATTATTCAAACTAAACCTGAAAAAGGGCTCAGTCCTTTAACACGTAGCGGCTCACGGTGGAAGCGGTAAAACGATGAATATTTCCCAGATTTTCTCTGTTTTATTAACGTACCTCCTTTAATTAGGATACAAAACATTCCATGTGATCGATCTCCGCTGCTCGTGTGAATCAGAAAAACGTGAGTTATCGATATTCAAGGCGGACAAAAACTAATTTTACCAACGTTTATTATTTTTATTTTTATAATCCCCTCCCATGTTTCGGCTCCTCTCTCGACTTTTGGGAACCCCTGTACCGCGTGTCCATACGCCCGGAAGCCAACTCATTGCTATTGGTTTCTACTTCCTTTAATCTGACTTTTTTATGAAAATAAAGATTATTGAAATGGTTCCGCTGTCTCCTTTAAGCTTCATCATTTGTTTGTATTTAGACTGGAATACTTTCTATTGAATTGCCTCCACACACACGTCAGGAAACAGCAGAGGACAGTTGATAATATTCTCATTTTTATTTGTGTTGTACAAAAATAAATGTCTCTTCAAGTCAGTATTTGATGTGCAAAGTGCATTCTGGTAGTCATGTGACACATTTGATTGAGAGGTAGGCCTTTGTGTTTGAACACAGCTCTGAGGTAGAGTGCAACCTGTTCATCATGTGTGCTGCAGGGATCCACTTCACTTATATATTTATGTTTTCTCCAGATTAGTGCAACCTGATGCTCTTTGCATGCCATGTGAACACAGAACGTCACAGCTGTGTGTTTTTAAAGTGACTGTGCAACAATGGTAAGTAAACATTTCAAAAATATATATATTTATCGGAACACTTCTCTTGATTTCAGGCCAAAACATGACAGGTACAGAAAATATTAAACATTTTCCATTCATTTGGGGATAATCTTTTTCAGATTAGGAACAAGTCTCATATTTTTTTTTATGAAGGTGGTGATGTGGTAATGTATGTATTTTATAGAGCATGTGATACAAGATGTCAGTGTTGATGCAGTTCCTACCTTCACCACTAGAGTTAAAGTGACCCTGAATAATTGAAATATTTTCTGATGCTCCTTGAAGGCGGTGTTGGCAGAACTGACAGCGGCAGTCGCTGCTCTTTAGTTTCTGCATGTGACTGAAGGCGGAGATTTTTTTTTTTTTTAGGTGTTGGTGTGTGTGGGGGGTTAGTACTATTCGTGGGACCAAAATACCCCCCCTCCGCCAGGTGCAACTTTACACATGGGCTCAGGTTACAACCAAAACACAGATTCAGAGGCACACCAACCAGCGTGAGCAGAAAGTGCTTTTCAGTGTTAATTTGTTTCTCAAGGCTTATCCAAAAATAAATGTATTATTTATATATGTACAAAGTCCTACAGGTGTGTGTAAACAACATCCAGGTGGAGGTGTGTCCGCTTCACACTGACGCCGAGTGTTTCCCTCCATCTCTGAGCTGTGGAGACAAAGAAACGCACATTTTTACCACGAGAACACAGTTAAGTGAAAGCACCATGACATTAATCATAATATTGATCTTGATTTCAGCTGTAAATTCGTTTATTTAATCATTAACTTCACTATATCTTGATTTCTGGTTTTCTGTTATTTATTTATAACTTACTGGTACTAAAATAACTTGTTTAACTAATGCCAGGTAAACAAGATGTAAAATAACACCTCCAACTATCTAAATATCTCTTTAAGAAAAGGAACACTTTAAGACTTAATGAAACAAGTGTGCAAATTGCCAGCAAAAATACCAATAACCTTCGTCAAATACTTATAATAATTTATAATAAAGATAATGAAATAATTGTTGTTTTGATCTAGTGCCTGCAACTTTTTATAACTGCAAGGTGACCAGCCAAAACACTGAACTTCACCCACATGTTTTTAGGCCATAAATTGTCAGATTTGTTCATGTAAAGTACATTTACATTTTGAGTACTTAAAGGTGACCTATCATGCAAAATGCACTTGTGTACGTCTTATATACATGAATATGTGTCCCCGGTGTTCCAGGGAACTCACCAAGTGTCAGAAAACACAACCCTCTCTAATTTCTCCATACCTTA